GTTTTCTGAACGTGGCCTGTTCTTCCCAGAGCAGAGGAGCGTCCAGGCTGGGTCTAGAGCAGCCGTGGGCAAACTACGGCCCGCGGGCCGGATCCGGCCCATTCGAAATGAATAAAACTAAAAAAAAAAAAAGACCGTACCCTTTTATGTAATGATGTTTACTTTGAATATATATTAGTTCACACAAACACTCCATCCATGCTTTTGTTCCGGCCCTCCGGTCCAGTTTAAGAACCCATTGTGGCCCTCGAGTCAAAAAGTTTGCCCACCCCTGGTCTAGAGGGACTGTGTGAGCTGAGTCTGCCCGAAGCCGCAGGAGCCAAGTGTGTGTCCCGTCGCCCCGGGTGCCCCATGGGCTGCAGCCGCAGGACAGTCCCCCTCACTGCCATGGGCCGGAGCAGGAAGGCGGGGCGCGTCCACCCATCTCTGGCTCAGTGGTCATGTTGGCGACCTGTGGACAGGCCTGTGGGAATGCTTGACCACGTTCACGCAGCTGGACCTGCCTTGGGCCTCTGGGAAGGAACCAGGCTCCCCACCTGCATCCCAGCCAGTAGCAGCCTCAGTGCCCTGAGTGCAAGGACAGCAGGGCATGCGGGCACGGAAGATGCTCATCTGCTCGCCCCAGGGCAGCCCCTCCCCTCCAGCGCCTCCCGTGCAGCAGCCCAGGGCACCTGTGGCTCTCACTCTCTCAGCCTCCAAAGGGGCCTGGGGCCCAGGAGGGGCAGGAGGACCAGCCGGCAGTGAGGGGTGCCTCGGAGGCCTGCAGGGGGGGGGGGGGGGGAGGCGCGGGAGCAGGACCCGGCCTTCCCAGGGGAAAGGGCGAAGGGCGGAGAGTCCGCAGCAGCTCCAGCCGCTCAGGGGTGAACAGGGGCTACGCAGGGGGCCTCGGAGCAGGTGCAGAGCCCGAGCGTGACGCACAGAGGGACTCGGGGCCGCGGAGCAGGTGCCAGGCAGCAGAGAGCCACGGACAGGCGTGGGCGAGGCCCCTCCGAGGTGCCCCCACCTGAGCCTCAGTCCCGATGGATGGAAGTCACTCGGCAGTCAGCTGCCTCCGGGACACAGCAACCTGAGCCTGGCCCACACCACACGGCTGCTTCCCTGCTTTCCTGTGTCCCAGCTTCCGGCTAGAAGCACGGGAATGTCCCGTCGGCGAGAGTGCGTGGAGGGGACTGCCCATCCCATTACTCCTAGGTTGTCGGGGCACAGTGTCCCCTGAAGTGTGAGCGCCACAGCTCTCAGACGAGGGCCTGTCCCCAGGCTCCTGCCCGTGGCAGGCAGTGCCGTGGGCTCGGAGCTCCTTAGAAGGCAAGACCCACGCTGCCCGCCTGGCTGACTGCAGGCAGGGCCCACGCGAGCCAGAGGCTGCACTAAACCCGTCAGGGCCCGGCTCCCCGAGGGGCTCAGGGGCTCTTCGGCAGCTGCCTTGACTGCCTGCCCGCTGTGCCCCTCCTCCCGGGAGGCCATCCTGTGACAACGGGGTGACCCAGGCAGCCGGGCCCGCGGGTCCTCCCACTCCCCGCTGGGCCACCTCCTCTCCGACACCCTGTGCCACAATGTGCCCTGTACACACGCCCCATTGACGCCCCCTCGCTGGGCAGCCAGCGGCGCCCGACCGCGTGGGGTCCTGACTGACCGTGTGGGGTCCCCTCACAGGCTGACACCCCCGGGCTCTGTGTTTCAGGCTGGTTGCCCAGATCCACGATGAGCTGCTGTTTGAGGTGGAAGATGCGCAGGTGCCCGAGTTTGCAGGTGAGCCCAGAGGAGACAGGAAGGAAGGCACGTCCGGGTCGGCCCAGGTCTGCCTGGGGGTGTGCTCAGATCCCCCTCCCCCGCCTCATGCTGCGCGTCACCTGCACCCTGGCCACAGCCCCACGGACACCAGTGCTCCCCGTGGGCCGTGCTCCCCGTGGGCTGAGCTCCCTGTGGGCTGAGCTCCCTGTGGGCTGAGCTCCCCGTGGGCCATGCCCAGCCACGGGCCCTGGAAAGATGGGGCATCGGCCTCCCAGGCTGGGGGAGCGGGGCTGGGGGTGCTAAAGGGGCTCACTGCCAGGCATCCTGGGGAGACCCAGGTTCCTCCCTCGCCGGCTGCGGTAGCAGCGGGGCCCCCGCTCCGGCCTCGCTGTGGTAGACAGAGGACAGGCCCGTTGCCGGTCCCGGGCATGTCTGTCCAGATCTGTGTGGCACGTCGGACTTGGGGGCATGGGATGGGTGCTCACTGTTAGAGAGGCAGCTCGCTCTGGGACCCCGGAACCAAGCTGGCTGCTCCCCTCCAGGGCCCAGCATGCCCCCCGGTGACCCAGGCCTCCCATGGGGCCACAGCCCGACCCTGCCCAGCACCTGAGGGCTGAGGGAGGCCCAGCTGGGGAACCTGTGGGTGTGGCCCGAGGGGCCGGGGCTCCATCCCCCCTTCTCTCTCTCCTAGCTCTGGTCCAGGGAGCCATGGAGGCCTTGCAGCACGTGAGGGCACTGGAACTGCAGCTGCAGGTGAGGGGCAGCGGGAACCGGGGGCCACACCCCCAGCTGCCAGGGACCCCGGGGAGAGGGCACAGTGCCCCGGGCAGGAGCGCCCGGACAGGCCAGGCCCGGCCCTGCCGCAGGCCCCAGCCCGGCTGCTCCCAACCTGCCCTCTGAGGAGCCATTACTCTGGCGACAAGGTGTGGCCTTCTGCCTGGGAGAGCCACAGGGTGTCCTTGGTGCATTGGGACTGGGTCAGGCACCCAGGGGCCCCACCTGCCTCAGGTGCACCAGGCCTGCTGAGCCTGGTCCCAGCCCCACCCCTGCTGGTCACCCCTCAGAGGGGCTCCCCCAAGTCAGAGGGAGAAATGGAGGGATAAGGAGGGGGTGAGAGTCCCTGAAGCCTGTGCAGGTCTCCCTGGTGGGCAGAGCCATGCCTGTCCCTGTCCCTGTCCCTCCGAGGGGGCTCCAGCCACCAGGTCCCCAGCAGCCTCCGCTCTTCCTCCTCGGGTTGTGGCCACACTGTGTGCCCGGAGGGCCCCTGCACGGCCCGTCCTCCCAGGCAGTGCTAGATAGGTCAGGGAGCACTGCCTGGGCCGGCCAGGGTCAGGGTCCAGGGTGTCCACGCTTGCTCCTGCAGCACATGGGGACATGGGGCGCTTTCCTTCCATGGAGGCCAGGAGCCCCCAGTAGTCCTGCAGGTGGCAGGGCTGCGGCTGTGGGGGGACAGCCCTCCCCCACCCCACCCTAACAAGAGGGGCTCTTGAGCCGTGGTCCAGGGATCAAGGCCCCGGGAGGGCTCTCCTGGACCCCTGGCACCTCTCAGGGCCCCGAGGTGGCCAGCACAGGGGGGGCACCTGGCCTGGCCCCGCCCCTGCAGGCGTGCTCCCTGGCACAGGCCCTGACAGCTCAGGTGGCAGACTTGGCCAACGTGGAGGTGCTATGCCCAGGGTGTGAGTGTGCGTGAGCCGGCCTGCCTGTCCCCGGGAGTGTGCGTTATTGTGCGTCCCGTAGCCGTGTGGCTGTGGGTGTTTTGGGGCATGTCTGCCTTGCACTGTGGCCGTCCCCAGGTGGGGGGCTGGGAGGTGATGGCAAGCTGGCCAGACCTGCACTCACCCCTGGCTGCCACCCACAGGTGCCCCTGAAGGTGAGCCTGAGCACTGGCCGCTCCTGGGGACACCTGGTGCCACTGCAGGAGGCCCTGCCTCAGCCACGCCCCCGTCCTGCCACGTCTCCACGCAACCGCCTGGCCAGACCGCACCTGCCTTCTTCCCCTGCATTTCGTCCATAGCCCCGGCGACAGCAGGGGCAGAACTGGCCCCCCAGCCCCTGGGTGGCCTCCCCAAGGCCAGGGCTGGTGTCTGTGCTGGCTGGTGGCTGGAGCAGGACATGGCCCGGCCAAGTGCACCCTCTGGGTCCTCGCCCGAGTAAACGCCGTCCACAAAGCTGTCCTCGTCCGTCCTCGTGACTTCTTCCCGTGGGTGGGAAGTGCCCGGGCCAGGGCTGAGCGCCCCACCC